GAGCTTGTTTTAAAGGGTTAGTTCACCTTTCCAAAAAAATCACCTATGCATTCCAGCTTCTCTAGTATATTAGGAAGCAGTCTCCAGGTTTAAAAAAAAAAAGTGTCTTAATTTCCAAGGCATTCCTGTAGGCTGTACGCAACCTCTCCCTATCCTGAGCGCAAAAACTCCTAGAGAGGGCAAACCTCCCCATAAATGGCAGGACAAGCCATTCATTAAATGCATGGCTCCGTCAGCACAGGAACATGCATTCTAGCCCATTCAAAACCTTTGCATGTGCAGTGCATTCTCTCCCTCTCTGCCACAGCAACAGCTGAGCTTAGCGTTGTGCGATGGAGAGAATGCACATCCACAGAACTTGAACGAGTCAAAACAGATGTCCCTGCAGTGATGGAGGCGCATATCCAATGGCCAGAAGGGGCGCAGAGGTCACACACTTTAGAAGTTTTATGGACAGGCTCAGCAGAGGTCTCACAAGGTTATGAAAAGGTGAACCAACCCTTTAAAGCTGATTGATGCTTACTAAAGTATAGCACTATCTCCACAGGAGCTGCTTGGAAATATGGGTTCTCTGTTCTGCACCTTGACTCCAAAAACAACATCAGTTCCTCTGACGGACTTGGTTAATGCAAATTACTGCAAGTACTTATAAGAATACATATATATAGAAACCCTTAACTCAGCTTTGAATTAGTACAGGAAATAGGCACAAGTGGTAAATGAACCCAATGTATTGGAACGGGTTAGGATAAATGGTGGTTTGAGAATAAATGCGCTCACAGAAGGTAGGTTCAAACACAGTCCGCTAGACAATATAATCACTATACCAAAGTAACTTAGAATAGAATTGTGTACAGGGGCGGACTGACAACTCATGGGGCCCCTGGGCAATAGGGAATCATGGGGCCCCTGTGTCCTTGCCCAAACTCAAAAAAGCCTATGAAAAAGGTACCAGGGGCATCTCATGGGGCCCCCTACTGACCCCGGGCCCTCGGGCAGTGCCCTAGTTTCCAAATGGTCAGTCCGCCCCTGCCCCTGGTTGTGAATATAAGTCTGAACTGCATAGTGGATATTATTATTATTATCATAACTAGTCTAGAGTGCACTCCAGGAGAATGGTTAAAATATGGTTCAATGTTCCTTGAGAGGTACCTCTCAACATAAGCAATAGGTGAAGGTCTCTGTGTAGCAGCTATAAAGGGACAGTCTTTAGTCCTACCTCTTCAGTCGGCTAGCGTTGGGGCCCAGTTGTATGAAAATAGTCTCATCAAGCCTGCAGGCAACAGTAAGGCAACTAGATGGCTGTATGGTCAGTTTCTATAGGGCTCAGTCTCTCTAGCAGAGGTAAATGCCTACAGCAGCAGCTCACCACCAACCCATCGATATTGCAGCATCCAGTCATACAGAGATTAGTCCACTCTCTGCTCTGCACCCAGGTGACTCTGGCTATCGGCACTCCCAAACTCAATGCTCCGGATCCCACTCAGGCCACCAATATGCGGCAGCGATGTGCAATCTCCAGTCTCCCTAAAGGCATTAGGTAGCAGTGTCCTGTACAGCCTGGGAAACTGCAGCTCTTTCCCCTCCTCCTGACAATCTCTCTCTGGGAAATTCAGTTCAGAAGTTCTTGATTGCAGTTGAGTCTCTCTCCTCTGGACTACAGTTCCCACAATGCAGTTTTGCCTAACTCAGCCTATTGAACTCTTCCTGCTCAGCAGCTCCCTCCTCTTGCTGTTATAGCTGTTAACCAGTTCAGCACCACAGGGCATCAGCTATAGAGAGCAGCTGCAGCCAGTGTTTCTCTCACTCTCCATTCTTAGCCATGCACCTGGCTACATAATTTATAAATGCATAGCCTGACACAGGTACACTTTAACCAGTTATCTTTGTATATGATATCTACATCCATCCCCATCATTAGGGGCATGATAGCAATGTATCTATCCATTGCATGAGCACTTTGTGCTGAAAGGGTTCCTTCTGCCCCATCTGATTAGATGCCATACTAATTTTTATGCCAAGTATCAGTGAGGATAGAGATAATCTACACTCCCAGCATGGCCATTTGTAATCTCCCCAGCTCAGTGGCATAGTGTGGGCTGCCAGCGCCTAGGGCAAGACAAGTATTGCACCTCCTAACTCGTGAACCGCTAGAACTCCCTTCCACCAGAATATATTGTGGCAGTTCTGGGCACTCTCACAGTGGGAATCAAGGTTATACCCCAGGATTCTCAACTAAACAGGTTGAGGGGCTCCAGAGGGTTTGCTTAATGCAGAAGAAACTGGCTTTTGAGTTTCCTCATTTGTTCGCAAAGTCCGTTTTGGGATCTGGAGCCTGGAGATTTCAAAGTGATATGGGAGGGATGAAATCTCCAATCCTGGGTCCATGTTTTCTGAACCCCCAGCACACTAATTGTACAGGTGTGTGTAGGGCTTTAAATAATAACCTGACTAGGGTTCTGGGTTCCACCCTGCAGAGAAGTCCATGTGGGTGCAAGAGAGCAGCCACAAGTGTGCATGGTAGCACAGAGTAGTCTGATAGAGCAGACAAGGCCCAAGCCTGTGGGCTGGAGAAGCAGTAGTGCTGTGAAAGGGCACTAACCAAGGTGAAGCGTATGTATGTGAATGGTCAAGAGGACCAAGGCATGAAGCCTGAGCAGTGGTGCTGCTAAAGAGAGCCAGGGGGCTGAATATTTGTTTCATTTGCATTGATGGTGGATATCCCCGCGTGGGAAACCTATATTGTGTGGAACTTTCTTTTAAATAAAATTGGGCAAAAGCGGCCCTTAAAACGAAGAAAGCAAGTGGCTGTGTGCTTAAAAAGCTCTACCCTTGATGCTAGTTTTCACAATATATATACATACATACATCTTTCTTAGATACACAGAATATAACTGGATACTAACATTTAGACATAGTTAAAGTTGATCCAGGGAATATCCGATTGCCTGTCGGGGGACAGGCTTCCCCTGCAGGAGCAAATTGGATCATGCTTTGCTAGTTTTTTTGTCTTCCTCTGGATCAACTGGGGGTATGGGATTATAACTTTTTCTTTTTTTTAATGGTTGAACTGGATGGACTTTTGTCTTTTTTCAGCCAGACTAACTATGTAACTTATGATACATAGTAAGAAAACCTGTGCCTTGCTTAGGTTCCCCTGTGTGCCTTGCTTTCCCATCCACTCTATGCACCTCCTAAGCTAGCACTCATTGTGCACCTCCACTCCTTTCATTCCTGCATTGTGCCCCCCCATATAACCCCCTCACATTGTTCATCCCCAGCCCATCCACCCTCTATTGTGCACCCCAACTCCATATACTCCTTCCCCTCAGACTAACTGGCAGTTGGAGGCATGGCAATTGAACTGCACGGCATGCCAGTTAGCAGTGGGCCCAGGAAGAAAGGAAAAGAGGAAAGGAAAGAGAAGAGGGACCAGAGGCATCTTCAACTGCACTGCCACACACTCAGGCGGGAACACTCAGCTTGCGCTCCTCAACTCTGCCCACTTTGCCTCTGAACCACCCACTTGGACCCACGCACATAGCTTAGGAGGGGGAAAGAAAGAGGAGAGAGAGCATGGCTGACAAGACCAGAATGAAAATAGGCACAGACCAATCTTCCAACTCTTCTCCCCCCTAGTTCTTATTAATTTTTCTCACCTAAGAATTTTGCACTCAGGGCAACAGCCCCTGTGGCCCCAACCAAGCTATGCTACTGCCCCAGCTATAAAACAAATGTGTAAAAGTTCCACACTTCTCAATTGCAGATATAGGGTATTGGGAAATCTTAGGTCCTATTTAGTTTTAAGGACTTCACAGCTACTGTGGGCCTGGTGCCCTTAGCAGTTGCACCATTGCTATTAGTAAGTACATTGTAACATTCATTATGTCATTGTGGATGCCATTGTATTGTAGAGGAGCCTTCTGAAACTACTTATGGATAAATGTCTACAGAAAATTCCTAGAGATTTTCAGCTGCGGCTCACAGCAGGAGACACAGAATTTTCTTATATTTATAATCCTGTCAAGGAAAGTATTATCTTTCTATTCACGCATTTCCACTGAGCCAACAAAGCAAACACAGTCCCTCCCGAGTCTTCATAGCCACCTCATAAAGTCAGCTCCTAAGAACTGTTTTCTGCTATTTGCATGCTAGTCTGTGGCAAACACTTATATCAGCCTAAATTTTAGGAATATAGGAAAAAATAAACTGCTTAGGGTCCTGATCTTAAACAGAAGTGATCAGAGAAACTGATAAATGAAAAGAGATGCAACAGAAAGAGCACCAAACAAATGATCCAAGAGTCCAATATTGATGGAAAGGACAATAAACAGCCAGCATGTTTTGGGAGCCTATAGATCTTCCCCTTCTTCAGCGCTTAACGCAGAACTTCACTCAAAAAGTGATGTCCCGCTGTTCCTTCCTCCCTCCCAGCCTGTAACGAAGTTAAAGTTTTTTGGGGGGGAGGAGGAGCAAGTACTGATTTTTATTGCTACCAACTCCCACTTCTGCAATCCTAGCCTAGGTGGGAATGACGCTCCTTGCCCTGTTCCCTACTTTGTCATTCTAAGCCATGGGGCTGTGTGTTCTTTTGCTGTACATATTGTAGGGCAGCGGTTCTCAACCTGGGGGTCGCGACCCCTTTGGGGGTCGAACGACCATTTCCCAGGGGTCGCCTAAGACCATCGGAAAACACATATTTCCGATGGTCTTAGGAACCGAGACACCGCTCCTCTGACTCAGTCGATGTGTGGGCGGGATGACACGCTGCCCTGTCCCCTGGCCACACCTCCGGGATCCCTCAACAACTCCGCCTCCTCGCCGCTGATTGGCCACCGGAACTGTAGCTCAGGAGAGGCACACAGGCGGCCAATCACCGGCGAGGAGGTGGAGCTTGGAGAGGAGGAGCCGAGCGGCAGCGCGCGGAGATCAAAGAAGATCGAGGGAACTGCCGGAGTAAGTGAAGAGGAGAGCGGCCAGAGAAGGAAGACAGCTGACAGGTAAGTGAGAGAGCGAGCCCAGGCTGGAGCAGGGGTCAGCAAGGTAAGTATCATTGGTGTCAGTGGGAGGAATAGTGCCCCATCATTTGTGTGACTAATACCAACAATGGGGCACTATTTCTCCCACTGACACCAATGATGGGGCACTATTTCCTCCCCCCCCCCCCCCCCCGCACTGACACCAATGATGGGGCACTATTCCTCCCCCCCACTGACACCAACGATGGGGCACTATTCCTCCCCCCCACTGACACCAACGATGGGGCACTATTCCTCCCCCCCACTGACACCAACGATGGGGCACTATTCCTCCCCCCCACTGACACCAACGATGGGGCACTATTCCTCCCCCCACTGACACCAAGAATGGGGCACTATTCCTCCCCCCACCGACACCAACGATGGGGCACTATTCCCCCCCCTGACCCCAAAGATGGGGCACTATTTCCCCCTCCACCACACTGACATCAATGATGGGGCACTATTCCTCCCACTGACACCAATGATGGGGCACTATTCCTCCCACTGACACCAATGATGGGGCACTATTCCCCCCACTGACACCAATGATGGGGCACTATTCCCCCACTGACACCAATGATGGGGCACTATTCCCCCCACTGACACCAATGATGGGGCACTATTCCCCCCACTGACACCACTGATGGGGCACTATTCCCCCCACTGACACCAATGATGGGGCACTATTCCCCCCACTGACACCAATGATGGGCACTATTCCCCCCACTGACACCAATGATGGGGCACTATTCCCCCCACTGACACCAATGATGGGGCTCTATTCCCCCCACTGACACCAATGATGGGGCACTATTCCCCCCCCCACTGACACCAATGATGGGGCACTATTCCCCCCACTGACACCAATGATGGGGCACTATTCCCCCCACTGACACCAATGATGGGGCACTATTCCCCCCACTGACACCAATGATGGGGCACTATTCCCCCCACTGACACCAATGATGGGGCACTATTCCCCCCACTGACACCAATGATGGGGCACTATTCCCCCCACTGACACCAATGATGGGGCACTATTCCCCCCACTGACACCAATGATGGGGCACTATTCCTCCCACTGACACCAAATGGGGCACTATTCCTCCCACTGACACCAATGATGGGGCACTATTCCCCCCACTGACACCAAATGATGGGGCACTATTCCCCCCCCACTGACACCAACGATGGGGCACTATTCCTCCCCCCACTGACACCAACGATGGGGCACTATTCCTCCCCCCACCGACACCAACGATGGGGCACTATTCCCCCCCCCTGACCCCAAAGATGGGGCACTATTTCCCCCCTGACACCAATGATGGGGCACTATTCCCCCACTGACACCAATGATGGGGCACTATTCCCCCACTGACACCAATGATGGGGCACTATTCCCCCCACTGACACCAATGATGGGGCACTATTCCCCCCACTGACACCAATGATGGGGCACTATTCCCCCCACTGACACCAATGATGGGGCACTATTCCCCCACTGACACCAATGATGGGGCACTATTCCCTCCCACTGACACCAATGATGGGGCACTATTCCTCCCCACTGACACCAATGATGGGGCACTATTCCCCCCACTGACACCAATGATGGGGCACTATTCCCCCCACTGACACCAATGATGGGCTCTATTCCCCCCACTGACACCAATGATGGGGCACTATTCCCCCACTGACACCAATGATGGGGCACTATTCCCCCCACTGACACCAATGATGGGGCACTATTCCTCCCACTGACACAATGATGGGGCACTATTCCTCCCACTGACACCAATGATGGGGCACTATTCCCCCCACTGACACCAATGATGGGGCACTATTCCCCCACTGACACCAATGATGGGGCACTATTCCCCCCACTGACACCAATGATGGGGCACTATTCCCCCCACTGACACCAATGATGGGGCACTATTCCCCCCACTGACACCAATGATGGGGCACCATTCCCCCCACTGACACCAATGATGGGGCACCATTCCCCCCACTGGGGCACCATTCCCCCCACTGACACCAATGATGGGGCACCATTCCCCCCACTGACACCAATGATGGGGCACCATTCCCCCCACTGACACCAATGATGGGGCACTATTCCCCCCACTGACACCAATGATGGGGCACCATTCCCCCCACTGACACCAATGATGGGGCACTATTCCCCCCACTGACACCAATGATGGGGCACTATTCCCCCCACTGACACCAATGATGGGGCACTATTCCCCCCACTGACACCAATGATGGGGCACTATTCCCCCCACTGACACCAATGATGGGGCACTATTCCCCCACTGACACCAATGATGGGGCACTATTCCCCCCACTGACACCAATGATGGGGCACTATTCCCCCACTGACACCAATGATGGGGCACTATTCCCCCCACTGACACCAATGATGGGGCACTATTCCCCCCACTGACACCAATGATGGGGCACTATTCCTCCCACTGACACCAATGATGGGGCACTATTCCCCCACTGACACCAATGATGGGGCACTATTCCCCCCACTGACACCAATGATGGGGCACTATTCCCCCACTGACACCAATGATGGGGCACTATTCCCCCCACTGACACCAATGATGGGGCACTATTCCTCCCACTGACACCAATGATGGGGCACTATTCCTATGACACCAATCCTGGGGGCCCTAATTCCTCCCACTGACACCAATGATGGGGCACTATTCCTCCCACTGACACCAATGATGGGCACTATTCCTCCCACTGACACCAATGATGGGGCACTATCCTCCCACTGACACCAATGATGGGGCACTATTCCCCCACTGACACCAATGATGGGGCACTATTCCTCCCACTGACACCAATGATGGGGCACTATTCCCCCCACTGACACCAATGATGGGGCACATTCCCCCACTGACACCAAATGATGGGGCACTATTCCCCCCACTGACACCAATGATGGGGCACTATTCCCCCACTGACACCAATGATGGGGCACTATTCCCCCCACTGACACCAATGATGGGGCACTATTCCCCCCACGACACCAATGGGGCACTATTCCCCCCACTGACACCAACGATGGGGCACTATTCCCCCCACTGACACCAACGATGGGGCACTATTCCCCCCACTGACACCAACGATGGGGCACTATTCCCCCCACTGACACCAACGATGGGGCACTATTCCCCCCACTGACACCAACGATGGGGCACTATTCCCCCCACTGACACCAACGATGGGGCACTATTCCCCCCACTGACACCAACGATGGGGCACTATTCCCCCCACTGACACCAACGATGCACTATTCCTCCCACTGACACCAACGATGGGGCACTATTCCTCCCACTGACATCAGTGATGGGGCACTACTCCTTCCACTGACACCAATGATGTGGCACTAGTCCTCCCACTGCAAAATTACAGTTATGAAGTAGCAACGAAAATAATTTTATGGTTGGGGGTCACCACAACATGAGGAACTGTATTAGGGGTCGCGGCATTAGAAAGGTTGAGAACCACTGTTGTAGGGAGACCAAAAACAAACAAATGGCACAAGACAGGAGATTTCCACTCATCCACCAGTGACCAAGGAAAAGAAGGGAAGGCAGAGACCATGAACAAGCTCTAAATGACTCTAGTAGACATGCAGACCGTGCAGAACAAAAAAAATATTGTTTAGTTTTAGAACAATTCGTTAAGTTACTTATTTCATTTCATTGCATGCGTTTCATTTATTCATTTTCGACTGGATTCAAATTTTTCCAATGGTTTCAAAGTATTCGAATCGAATTTGAATGGAGTTCAAATTGAACATATCTAATCGATCCAAATTCATTGTGAAGAACGCCTGGTTCTATTCCATTCGAAATTCGCATTTCGGAAGAAGGTTATAGTCTTTCCATTTTATTCTATTCTATTCTTTTTTACTTGATTATTTTCTATTCTATTCCTTTTTTTTCTTTTCTATTTTATCATATTCTTTTATGTTCTATTCTATTCTCTTCTGTTTTACTCTATTCTGTTCTATTCTATTCTATTATTTTCAAAAATCTAAGTCAGGAGATGGCTATACTCTTTACATTTTATTCTATTCTTTTATTTGCTATTCTATTCTTTTCTATTCTATTCTTTTATTTTCTATTCCTTTATTTTCTATTCTATGCAATTCTTTTATTTTCTATTCTATTCTGTTTTGTTTTGCTCTTTTCTTTTCTGTTTTATTCTATTTTATTATTTTAGAAATTTGAATTTTGGAAGATGGCTGTATCCTAATACTAATACACATAATCTTTTAAAGTAATCAGTCAATAGTCAGCATATGTTTATATAGATTCCTTGTTAACTCCAGAAACTCCATGTAAATGAGTGCATAAGGTCTATATCCTGCTCCACACAACACCATCGGCTGCTCCTCATAACAGTAAGTGACCTTTGAGAAAATGAAATGGAACAGCAGAGGAGTGCAGTAGTATGAGCACAGTTTTTATTAAAAGACAATTGTCAACTCACTTTTATCTGTAAAAATAAAGCATGTCTGCATATCACTGCTCTCCATGAGTCTACAAGGTGGATAGTAAGGGTGCTGCTGTGGCCATCAGCAGGATCAGATGCCGCTGTAGGATGAGCCAGGTAACACTGAGAACCAGGATGGAACACACAGAGGCACCAGACTGGAAGTGACATCACCAGGCGTATGAACAGGGAGCAGAAGGGCATGGTTACGCGTTTCAAAGCCCTGCTGCTTCTTCCTCAAATCATCATGTATTACAGAAATTAATGTCCTTATGCATTCTTAAAAAATTATTTATTGTATTCTTAAAAGTATCTAGTGAAAGTATAGATTAGATTATCGAGATCATAGATAGATCATGGTTGCATTGAAAGAACAGGTATACAAAGTCTAACTTCTTTTTCTTTGGCCAGCAGCAACATCCTAAACAGAGAAGCCTGTGTCCTGCCAGCAAGTTGCAAAGAAGGACTCTATGGAAGCAGTGGTCTCTCTGCAGACACCAACATGACTGATGAGTCAGACCTAT